CTTAGCCTGTCCAATCTCAAAATTTTCTTGCGGGGCATAAATCACTGCAGTTTCTGCTGGACTTGTCCTAATGAAGCACATCTCCTTGTTATTGGCAGCCAGATAGACAGCATGCTCTGTCGACACAGCATCGCTCGGGTAGAAAACAGTGCAGTTGGGAATGCTTCGGAACATGGCCAGATCCTCCAGCGCCATCTGGGAGGGTTCATCTTCACCGATGGATACGCCGCAGTGGGCACCGATAAGGTTGATATTGGTTTGAGAGATGGCTCCCATCCGGATCTGATCAAATGCTCGAGTCAAAAAGGCAGCGAAGGTACTAACAAAAGGAATCGTTCGACCACGTGTGGCACAGCCCAGCGCTACGCTTACCATGTTTTGCTCCGCGATAAAACACTCGACAAAACGCTCAGGGTGTTCTTTCTTGAATATGTCGGAAAAGGTCAGGCTCTTCGTGTCACCATCCAGGACAATAACCCTTTTATTTGCATGGCCCAGTTTAGCCAAAGCCAAACCACACGCTTTCTGAGTAGCTATCTCCTCGCCCACCTTATAATCAATCAGAGAGGTCATTCTTATGTTCCTGATGCTGATTTGAGGGGAGTCTTCCACGGGGGGCTTCGGTACGAGATTCTTGTTGGTCTGTATCTGACTCTCGATCAACCTGATGACCGCGTCCGCTCTTTCTTTCGGCATCGGCCTCCCGTGCCAGTTTTCCGCATCTTCCACCTTCGGAATCCCCCGGCCCTTGAAGGTCTTCGCTACCACGGCGGTGGGCTTGTTCTTCACCTGCGCCGCTTGCCAGAACGCGCGGCACAGCGCCTCCACGTCGTGGCCGTCCACCACGCACGTGTTCCAGCCGAAGGCCTCGCAGCGCCTGCGATAGACGTCGGTGCGGTGGCCCAGGGGCGCGGGGCCGCTCTGCCCCAGCCGGTTCACGTCGAAGACGGCCACCAGGTTGTCCAGGCTGTGGTGGGACGCGAAGGCCAGGGCCTCCCAGACCGAGCCTTCCGAGGCCTCGCCGTCGCCCAGGAGGCAGAACACGCGGTAGCTGGCCTGGTCGAAGCGCTTGCCGGTGTAGGCCATGCCGCAGGCGGCGCCCAGGCCCTGCCCGAGCGAGCCGGTCGCCACGTCCACGAAGGACAGGCGCGGCGTGGGGTGCCCCTCCAGGTCACAGTCAATCTTCCTCAAGTTCAGCAGCTCCGCTTCGCTGAGGTCGCCCACCTCCGCCCAGGCCGCGTAGAGGATGGGGGCGGCGTGGCCCTTGGAGAGCACGAACCGGTCGTTGTCCGGGTGCTCGGGGTCCGCGGGTTTGTAGCGCATCGTGTGGAAGAAGAGCACGGCCAGGATCTCGGCCGCGCTGCAGCACGACGTGGGGTGGCCGGAGCTGCAGGCGCAGGTGGCCCTGATGGAGTGGATCCGCAGGCGGTTGGCCAGGTCCCGCAGCACCTGCAGGGTGTCCGCGTCGGGCTTGGCCTCGTCGGCCATCAGGGCCACACTCTCCGCGACTCCCGCAGAGCAGGGAGCGGACGTTGCCTGCACCAACCGCACCCGGTCCGTCCCGTCACGTGACGCCCGCCCCTCGCCCCGCCCTCGCCCCGCCCTCGCCCCGCCCCTCGAGGTTGGGCGCGCGGCCACCAGCCAGTGTGTGCGCTGCGGGACTTGTCACCCGACTGGGCCTGTTCTCAGTCTTGGGGTGCACCCCGTGCGTGACTCCACCTCTTCTTCTCCACCTGGCCATCTCCTTTGCAGCCCAACTGAATGGGTTTTAAATATTAACTTTGTTATTCGCATGGATAGCATTATTTAAAATAATTAAATTTCTTTTTACCTTTCTCCTATTATAAATTCAGAGGGGGGCATTTTTATATCCGTATCTTATAGGCACCTATTTGTGAGGTCGTGCTTCTTTTATATGCATTCACACCGTATCGGGAACATCACTCTTTTCAGTAGGATACTGATAGAAATTACCGAAAGCCACTTACTTCCAATCTGATGTGGCAACACTGTCAACAGACTTTCTCAGATCAGTGGAAAACTCTGACTTACGGACAAAAATACACTGACACATTGGACCAAAAATTACAAGATCAAAAACAAAACCACTCAATGCAGAGTATCTAGAACTGCAATTTCCTTAGTATACTCTAAAATAGTATTACTGTTACTACAAATGATGATTTTTTTAAACAAAATGAATTTACTTACTTTACTCATAAAACTAAATTTGTGCCACTGAACTCTTCTAGCTGGCAAGGGTTCCAGCTTGTCATCAAAACCAAACCAAAACAAAACTCACAGGGAATCTCTTGATTCTTAAGTAATAATTCTTATCATTGATTTCACATTAAAATCATAGCAATGAAAATAAAAATTATAAATCCAACCAAATAAAAATAAATAAATCCAACCAAACAAAACAAAACTGGGTTTCACCCCACAATAAAGTGAAATTGAATCTCTGAAAGTACAGTCTGGGAAGCTATAATTTTAAAATGCATGCATTAATTTTAATGTGTAGTCAAAAGTTAAGAATGGAGAGTCATCTACAGATGCTTGTTAACATTGGTTGTACTTTAGAGTTATCTAGGGAGTTTTTAAAAATCTTGTATCTAGAATACTCTCCCAGCCAATTAAATTAGAATTTCTGGGTGATGTGCCTGGGCATTGCAATTTCAAAAGCTCCTCGGACAATTTCAGTATTCAGTCAGGTTGTAAACAACTCACTCGGGGTTTTGCTACATTATATCTCAGAAAAAAATAAAATATTATTTGATATTTAAACTAGTTTTGTCATTTTCATATTTAAGGGTACATATTAGAATAAGTCATAATGGTATGACACTAACAAGATTTTAATACTTGTTGAAGGAATGCTGGATTAGGAAAGGTCCTTAAGAGGTCATCTTGTATTCATTACTGCCAATTCCTTTTGCAAATTAATGTTTCCTTATCTTTTTAGACAAAGGAAAACAAACTAAAGACAAAAACTGCAGTTGGACTAGGAGTAAAGATGGTAATTAGAGAAAAAAACACAGCATCGTAAGAGCAAACTATTAACAGCTGACTGGATGCAGTTAATCCTGGATAAGAAGAGTTCTAATATTCAAACAATTGGTAAAATGGTAACTTAAAAATGATCTCTGAGGAAGTGTTCACATGAAAAAAAGATGGAAGAAATAGCAACAGCTTAACATTTCAAGTTCCCAGATTCTTTAAGTGATTTAAAGTATTGTACAACTGTTTCCCAAAGTATTAAATAGAAAGTTTCTAACATTACTAAAGGTCAGTTTTGTTAAGAAAAAACTGTGGTCTTGTAGATTTAATACCCTAAATAGTGAGTATGAATTCCCTTCTGTCATTCTATGAAACTGGATTTTTATACTATAAAAATATTTTGTAAGTCATATGTAAAATATTTTAAAGTGTTCTGATATATTTAAAGGGAAGCCTGGAAGATTATATAAAAGTCATTAATATTTCTTTGAAGCATTTTAACCTTTCAGAATATATTTACAACTATACAAAAGAAAATAACCATGTAAGTATATAGTATGCATAGATAATGCAAAATTACGTAATGTGGCTGTGAACAATTTAGTCAAATAAATCAAAGACATGATGCAACATGCTACTTCCCCTATTAGAAAAGGCTGTTACTGACAAAAGGCCAGCCGAATGTCTTTAAGTAAGCATGCCAAAAATTTAGTTGTATTGGAAAAATTATGCCTTTTAGGTCATTTTGAAAGACAGTTGAAAGATTTCTGCAAATAGGAAGGAACTATTCATTTATTATTTTTGGTTTGTCTACCTCAAGGTAGGGATTGGCAAACTCAAGTGCATACTGGATGAGGAAGGTACCAGGAGTGTATGAATGTCAGATATTATATAAGAGGACTGAAAGGATCAGTCCTCTTATCAATTTTTTTATTAAAAAGCATAATCCCCCAGTGGAGCAGTTGGTTTTCCTATTTTTTGAAATTTTGTCAGTTTTCCATTATATATGTGAGGCTATATTACCAAATGCACACATATTTAAAAGAGACTTTTTATCATTATGAAGTAATCTTTTCTACCATATTTCCTAACTTAGTTTATTTTGTTTAACATTAATATATGTATACTAATATTCTTTACATTAGTATTTGCTTAGCATACTTCCTCCACCTTTGATTTTTAAATTGTTCCCTTATATTTTAGATATTTCACAAACAGGACATAGTCACATGTTTTAAATCCAATATGAAGTGTTACTGTTTTAATTAGGGTACTTAGTCCACAATTATTGCTCTATGGATTTAAATCTACCACCTCATTTTTGTTTTCTATTTACCCTAGTCTTGTTTCTTTTTTCTCTTTATCTCCTTGCTTTGAATGAGTTTTTAAATGATTATTTATTGATTTTTCTCTTCTTTTTGTAACGTATCCAGTTACATACATCCTTTTAATGGTTACCCTGGAAATTAAACATGTATTCTTACTGTATCACCCAATTATTAACAAATACTTAACCATTATACACAAACACGCACATCTTTGTGTATTTGTTAAAGCACAGGAAAATATCTCCAAAGATATCTCCAAACTATCTACAGTAGTTTATTGGGAGGCGGGGTGTTGGCTTGAAGAAGAGGCTTGGGGGATTCACTTTGCTGTTCGTGAGCAGCCCTCCTGGGAGTGGACAGACTCAGCTAAGCAGGTGCCCCGAAGAGAAGAGTCTAGTTCGGCTGTGGAGCTATGCACCAGGTCTCTTCCCCTAGATCCGCCTATACACCACGGGACCGTAGCCGCAGGCGTCCGTGGTACCGGCTCAAATCTCCCTCTCGCAGTTCTCGAGGGGCCAAGTTCATCCTCCAGCCCCAAGCTCCGGCGCTGCGCGCTTCGCCGGGGGTCAGGGAGGAGGCTGCTATCTGGGATAGGAGTTAAAAGTCCAACGTGGACATAAAAAGCCAGGTCTCGTTTCCCCCCGGACATTTTAGAGACACGCACTCGCCCCTCCTTTTCCGGTCGGTTCCGCTCTGGTCTCTGCGGCCCCACGTGCGTTGCCGGAGTCCTGCTCTCAGGTGCTGGTGCTGTTGTGGGTGAAGTTTCCCAGGTGTGGAGTGCAGAGGCCTCCCGGGGCCGCGAGGACGTCACTATGGTGGGCCCCCTCCTCCTCCTTTGAACTTGTTTGGTTCTCGAGAAGGCTCCCGATGGGGGAGGAAGGGCGCGGTTTGGGGAAACTGGGAGAAAGGAGGATGCGAAGTGATTACACTGGGCGGTACGCAGGGGGTGAGGGGTGCAGGGCAAGGCATCTAGGAGGAAGGTCTCCCGACCGCTTCTGGACCGACGCTTTGAGTTCTCGCTGTTCCTCGGGCGTCTTGCTGTTTCTCGCCTTCTGCTTAACTTCCCGGTCATTGCTCCCTCGGGGAGAAAGCCGCACCAGTACATTTTCTCGCAGTTCGGCAAAATTCGTAAACACGCTGCTTGCTTACCCCCGTGCCCTCTTCTTCCCGCTTCGTTTGCGTGGGGTCGGTCGCCGCTTCCTTGGCATCCATTCACCGCTCTGCAGTGACCCGGTCACGCGCTTAATCTTGCCCCCCCCCCCCGTTGTTGCTAAGGCACTGAAACTTTTGTTGTTTTTATTAAAAACAAACGTGAGTGCTTATATAATACACTCAAGTATAAAGATTAGCGGTATAAGGAACGCTTCTTTATCCGTTATCCAGTTTAGGAAATAACATAGCTTTTCAAAGCTTCTGTGTTCCCCATCTTGACACTATAACCATCAGGAACCCCTCAGAGGTAAATAAATAATGCATTTATAATTACCTTGTTTTTCTTTATGGTTGCTACTTAAGTTTGCATTGCAAAACTGTTGTTTCTTACTTTTTTTCACCTATTATGTTTTTGAGAGTAATTTTTGAATAGGAACATGTTTTATAAATATTCCTTTTTCAACTAGTTTTTAGTAAAAAAATTATAAAAAGTAGGATACTCTGGCTACAACGACTTTTTTCCTCTTTCTTGGTCCTTTTTTTTTTCTACTTGTGTGCTGTTTTTGTCCTTCGTGTCTATCTAGCCTTTAGATTACATACATACACTTTTGTGTAAATTCATTTTTTTTTAATCTCTGTATTTGTCCTGTTTCCAACCCCTTATATTTTTTATAGCCTTTCCTCTTCAGGGTGGAACATAACAATAATGTGTTGGTGTGTGAGCGATTCAGGGGTTGATTGGCACTGGGCTGCAGACCTTGACTATCAGAACTTCCTTTTTTCAGACTGCATGGTACGAGTGTCTTGCCTTGTAAGAGTCGAAGGAGTGGCATGTAAATCTTTTACCATTGGCACATTTTCTGCCCTTTCATTTTACTGGTATATTTTCCATGTCTCTGCTATGTCCTCTCAAACTTGAACTCACCTTGGAACTAAGGGGTTTCCATGTAGACGCTTACATTAGGTAGTCTAAACTTCTTTCAGTACAGTTCAGAATGTGGGCTATGGCATTCCAGAGGACTGGGCTTGGCACCTGAATCTTTACCAAATTGTGATCTTGGTGAAATTACTCAGTCCCTCTTGGTTGTCCTGCCTGTTCACTTGGGGTAACCATAATGCCTATCTCAGAGAATTACTGTGAAAATTAAATGCAAACCAATTATCCCTATATCCATTATTTAGTAAATGTTAGTTGTGTTAACTAACTTTAGTGATATCATCAGTAGTGACATTAGTTTGTAGTTGTCTATTTTTGTTCCTTTTTCATTTATTTTTGTTTATTGTGAATCTTTCCGAGAGCTTCACAAGTTCATATCTTTTCCTTATATCAGAATTTAACTAACTTGAAGAATCTTTTCAAACTAATTCATCCCACCCAACACTTTTTATTCTGCATTTTAAAAAGTTTTTAGTGCTTTAAAGTTTGATGTGTACTAGGCTAGTAGGCATTCACAGGTATACTCCTTTTTATATAAGCCCGTTATTATAGAGTTTGAATGCACTTATTTACCTGGCTAGATTGTAAACCGTTAAAAAGTACACTGTCGTCCTCCCTTGATTACTGTGTGCATCAATTATAATTGGTTTCCTACACTTTCCTTAATGACAAGAATTGTGTGCTTTGGGGTTCACACCTATAAATGTGAGCTTATACTTGTTTTGTTTTTCCCAGCTGTATTGAGATATAACTGACATTGTGTAAGTTAAAAAATGTATAATGTGATGATCTGCCATACAAATAGAGATATATTGTGAAATTACTGCCACAATCAGTTTTGTTAACAATCTCCTTCACAGTTACCTTTTTTCCCCTGTTGCAAAAACTTCTAAGATCTACTCTTCTTGTACCTTTCAAATCTGTAATACAATATTTTTAACTGTAGTCATCATGCTGTACCCTAGATCCCCAGAACTTACTCATCTTCTAACAAGAAGTTTGTATCCATTGACTTCCTGTTCATCCGTTTTCCCCTTCATCTATCCCCCCCCTTATGCTTACAACCAACATTTTACACTGTTTCTTTTTATATTTCATATTGCCCCTGAAATACCTGTTGCTGTGTATCTTTGAGTAAACGATGTCTTTTCTTTTGTAACTCGCAATTCTGAATTCAAAGAATAGTTTAGAATAAATTTTAAGAAATAATCACTAAAGATTATGAGAGAGATACTTTCAATACAGGTTTTCGTACTAGAATATTTCTGTGATGCCAGGTACTTTTCAAAGTAGTGATAGCTATTCAAAACCAGGCTGTTAGTTATGCCAATGAAAAGAAGTTGTATTTTTGAAAGTTAAATTTGGTACTTTTTAAAGCCTAAAATGTTAATCTTTCATAGAAAATATACCTTAAACTCATCCCCACTTTATGTTTCATACTATTCATGAATCATCAGATGCTGTACAAAACAAATTTGGAGAACCCCTGAATGATAGAGATTAATTGCTTTCTAGTTAAGATATTTAGTTTGAATAGACTGTTTAATAGATTAACATTTTATTCATAGGGTTTTACTTCAGTTTCCCTTGTTGAAGCATTTTGTTGGAGTTTTTTATTGTGATATTCTGAAAAAATAGGAAAATGTTCTGAAATTTAGTGTTTTATTGTACATATTTCTGTGCCTACACACACACACACACACACACTTCCTGCCTTGAGGCAACCTTTTTATGAATAAGTTATTATATGGAATTATAAACTACAGTTGGGTCAGAATACAAGTTCAGTTTCTTTATATCTTCTTTGTACTAAGTCTCAGAGGTTCTTTGAGTTCTTCTAAACCTGTGAGGACATTTCATAGTCTGGGTATCAAAGTACTTCTTGTTCTAAAGAAAGTTTTAAATCTTTAAAGGAATTTTTTATATACCTGAACAGAGTGTTATATATCTCTAACTTCAGTTAAGTTTTAGCAGCTTCCTAGAGCATTTTTTTTTCTTGAGGTTTTTGTGACTTATTTGTTAGAATGTGAAACAAAGCTATCTTTTTTTTTTTTTTTTTAAGATTTTATTTATTCATCTTTGGAGGGGGAAGGGAAGGAAAGGAGAAAGGGAGAGAAACATCAGTGTGTGGTTGCCTCTCGTGTGTCCCCTGCTGGGAACTGGCCTGCAACCCAGGTATGTGTCCTGACTGGGAATCGAACCGTGATTCCTTGGTTCGCAGGCCCGGGCTCAATCCACTGAGCTACACCACAAAGCTATCTTTTCAAAGAGCACACTTGGCTTTAGTTTTGTCGTGTTTTGGGGGTCTTGCATTAGTCTTTCTCTTTTTGTATAACAAGACTATCCCAACATTTAGTGGCTTAAAACAATAGCATTTATTATTGGGCAGTTTCTGTGGGTCAAGGATCAGACATGGTTTACCAGGTTTTTGCCTCTGGGTTTCTTACAAGGTTGCAGTGAAGGTATAATCTGAAGCTGTGATTTAACCCCAAGGCACAGCTGGGGAGGATCCACTTCCCAGCTCACTCACATGATTCTTGGTACATTCAGCACCTTGTGGGCTTTGGGACTGAGGGCCCAGTTCTTCACTGGACATTTGCTAGGAGCCCCGAGGTGGCTGTCACATAGGTCACTCTGTACTGCAGTTCAGTACATGACAGCTGGTTTCCATCAGAGACAGTCAAGAGACAGTAGCCAAGACAGAAACCAGAGTCCTTTCAAAACCTGACCTCAGGGTTGAAATCTTTGCCAAATGCTGTTTAATAAAAGCCAGTCAGTAGGTCTACACTCAAGGGTGGTGGGGGTGGGATCAGAGATGGGCATGAATATCAGGAGGTTCATTGGAGGCAGCCGACCATGAGTTCTGCACGTTTTTACTTGATTTGTGTTTGGTGGGTAAACCATGCACAGAAAAGTGTTTTCACACCTTCCTCTTCACTGCCCCTCAACTCCACATGAGCAGAGAGACACAAACGAATGCACATCCTGTTTTATGATGGTTTTACTCTGAATTCCCTTATTCCTGTAACCAACTTACGGTGGCATCTGGGTTTCAGACGTGGAGCTATCTTCTTTGGCCAGGTTTATCAATAAGGGAGCAGAAAAATCTTTGTGGAATGTTTATTTGCTGAAGGAATGAATGCACGTGTGAGTAAGAACTTGGTGGTCCTTTAAATTTTATGAAGGAATTGACTTGGAGCTGTGTCTTAATCAAAGATAAGCAAAAAAAAGGATTTTGCGGGCAGAGGTAAATAGCACAGTCTCAAGAAGTTAAGAAGCAGCAAGGTTATTCTGGAACTGGCGAGCAGGTCGGTAAGAATGGACAGGTGGGGATTTGGAAGGAAGAGGTGGCACAGGAGAGATAGGTTGAAGGTAGGCTGTTTTCCGCATTCAGGACTTGGACCTGGCTGTGAGCTAGCAGGAGTGTCATGGAAAAAACAAGCCCTGTGACCTCTGTGAAGAAGGAACCAGCGGGGAGCACTTACAGGCCACCCTGGTCATGAAAGGTCATGAGGCTGAGTTAAGGCAATGATAATATTTTGAAGAGAAGATTCTAGAAATACTTGACCTTTTTGAGTATTAGGTATGTTAGAGGCTGCTAGCTGTCCCCTAATAGACTCTTTTTCTTCTGTAGTAATTTATGTATTTTTTCTGAGAAATGTAAAGAAATTTACATTTCTTCCTCATACCACTCTGATTAAATAAATTTTGGTCGGCAGGAGATTCTGCGACTTCCCAGATCTTGCTGTTGAAGGAAAGGCGTGTGTCTACCTTTGATTTTCCTTTCTGCTTCTCACTGGCTGGAGTTTAGACTTGTCATCGAGCCGTCTTGACTTACCTGGATATACAGGAGGTTGCAGCCCAAAGAGAGTAGATGGCAGTTTGGAAGGGCCTGGGTTTCTGAGGGCTTTATGGAGCAGAGCCTCCAGCTCCTGCTTTTTCCACCAGACAACTAAATTCTGTCTGGGTTAAGCTATTAAAATTTGGGTTATTTATTATAGGAAGCCAGACCCAATTCCTAAGTAATAATAATAGGTATGATATAAGGTATAGAGGTGTAGGATTAAAGGCTTACTGAAACGTGTAGGTTAGAGAACTGAACGAATTACAACTTAGTTAACTGGCATAAGACTTAAGTGGGAAAATGATTGGTTTCCCTTTGGGTGTGCTAATTTTGAGATGGCTCTGTTATTTCCTCTGTTCCTGTTTTCCTGTGAGCCCAACTTTGATTTTGTTGATTCACTGCCCACACTGTTCCGTGTGCAGCTTCCCCGATCAAGCTCCCATCACGCCCTCTGTTCTTCCTGCCGCCTTGACTTTCCTACCTGTAATGGAAATTCCAACTGTGAGCCCCTCACTCTGCATTCTCTGTACCTGCTCTGACGATGGAGCAGTTGAGGAACTGCTTCCTTCTGTTCCTTTCTTTATTGTTTTACCTCTTGGAGAACATTTCCGAATATGTCATTTCTTTTATGACCATGGAAACAAAGACTGCATTATTTACCAGGTCTGGCTTATCTCCTGATTCCTGGTGTTGTGTTTCTGCGTCCAAGTATTTCTCTTATGTTACTGTTTCTAACATTTGTTTCTGAAGAAAAATTTTTGACAGAAATCACAAATATCTGACTTAACATATGTCATATGTTTTCCTCCATTTTAGCCTAAAGCACTAAAGGGGAAAAGCGGAGGACAGGAAAAAAAAGTCGTCCATCCGTATAGTAGAAAAGCAGCTCAAATTACGAGGGAGGCCCACAAACAGGAAAAAAGGGAAAAGTAAGTGTCTTTTTATTTGTATTATGTGTTGGTGAAAAGCCGATTTTACACATTTCTCCTTCAACAGTATTCCTCTTCTTCCTTTAGTAAATAAATACATTCAGTGTGTTCTGTGCACTGAAGGTAAAACGGTAAACCGGAATCAGCTCTTAAAGAGCAGACCTCAAACAGACAGGTCAGTTTAAACAGGCTGTGATGCGTGCAGAGAAGAAAATCTAAGGAGGATTGTGAGATGGAGAGTGAGGACGTGAATGTGAAGAGGCAGGCATCGGTGGGGACCGCTTCAGAGACCGCCACCTTTTGTTACTGTCTGCCCACCGAAGGCATTTGGTTTTCTAAGGAACACGGGTTGCCAGGCAGCTTGCAGTGCCTGACCTCTCTACTTTCACACGGAGCCCGGGCTTCTTTGTCCCACTTCCTAAGGTTTCCTTTTAGGGAGAAAGAGAGGGGGCAGGGGTCTGGGAGGATGTCTGTTAGGGGGCAGTGCCTTTGACCAGTGCTGGAGCCTACAAAGCCAGACCTGCTGGGTTGATCAGATGGACTCTTCTTGTTGGCCTCCGATTACTTAAAGATGCTGCAGGAGCGGCTGGCAACAGAGTAAGAGTTCAAACGCATTCTTCATGTTCAGTGTCTGAGTGCTCTGATTTAGAGCTCTATGAAATTCTGCTTCTGTTCACATTAAAGAAACTAGTATGGTTTGAAGACTAGCACATTTCCAGCAAAATTCAATTTACAGGCAGCAAATGGCTATATCATGATTTTAGCTTTATTTTAGGATCTCAGCATCGTGAAGCAAATGGCTATATCATGATTTTAGCTTTATTTTAGGATCTCTTAGCATCATGCAGCAAATGGCTATATCATGAATTGAGAGTTATTTTAGGATCTCAGCATTTTGTTGCTAGGTACTGTCCTATCTTGTCCTACAGGGTCTGTAGTAGGGAGTTTCGAATGAAATCGAATGAAAAGGACTTGGTATGAAAAATTAATGAAGGGAAATGAAGCTCAATTGGTAAGAATCTAGGAAACAACTACTTTTGGGAATTAATCTTATATTTCTTTACTTTTCTTTATCCCAGCTTATACCTCTCTAGTTTAGGCCCTCGCTGAATTCATTCGGCCTGGAGTCTCCCCTCCAGGCTTTGCGGAAAAGAATGGATTCTTCTCAAAGCCATTCTCTACCTTGTTATGAAGCAGTCTTTATTTTTTAAAAATTAACTTTGAGGTTAAATAACATACAGTAAAATCAATCTGTTTTCAATGGACAGATTTGGGATTTGACGGCACCCTGATGTAACCCCTGTGATTACTGCGTAATGCACTTTCGTCCCCCAAAACATTCCCTGCACATCTTCCCAGACAACCCGCCCCTCACCCCTCATTTTGGTAGATCTATCTTTCCTGACGTTTCCTATAAATGAAATCATAGGGTATGTAATATTCTGTGCCAGCCTTTTCCACTTCGCCTGACGTTTGTGAAGTTTATCCACGTTGTTTCACATACTAGCTGTGTTTCTCTTTTATTACCGAATAGTGTTCCATTGTATGAATATGCATTTTGTGTATTCACAAGTAGATGGTCATTTGGATTGTTTCGAGTTTTTGGCTGTTATCGAGGTCTGCAAACTAAGGCCGCAGACCTCATTTTTATTTAAAAAAAGGTTCTGGGGGGAGGGAGTTATGCCCGTTCCTTTTGTATTGTCTGTGGCTGCTTTCAGGCTACAGTGGCAGAGATGAGTCATTGCCATGGAGACTGGCCACATCGCCCACAACACCTACCGTCTTACTACCTGGGCATTTGAGAAAAAAATTTGCCAGCCCCTACTATTATAAATAAAGCTGTCATTAGCATTCATGTACAATATTTGTGTGGGCATATATTTTCATTTTTATTTTAGTTCCTAGAACTGGAATCTCTGGGTCATATGGTAGATCTATATTTAAGAACGTAAGAAATGAAGTTTATAAGAATTGTTGGTCATATGATAGATGTAATGCTTAAGTATGTAATAAATTGCCTTATCCAAAATGATTGTACCATTTTAGATTTTAACCACCAGTATATGTGTTACATTTGCTCCATATCTTCTCAGACACATTGTATTATTGTGTTTGTCAACCAAACAAAAGTGGAGATTCAGTTCCCTGTCAGCACAAAAGCCAAACTTATGGCAGATGCTGGTACAAAAGGAAGGAAGTTTTATTCAGGTGTTGCGGGATCCAGGAGTGGTTGACTTCTATCAACAAGCCCATCTCCCTCGCAAGGCCAAGAGAAAGCCAGTGTCCAGAGTTCCTGCTCCATTTGGAGCATCGGGTGACTGGCAAGTGGTCATAGCCCCATGCAGGCAGCTTTGATTGTCTCTGGCTGCTGTTCATGTCAAGCTGCCTCCTGGAACCTGCGTGCGGAGCCCACGTGGCCAAGGGCCTTGCCGCTGCTAGGACCGCTAGTCGTGTGCTCCTGAGAGAGTGTGTGGACGCGCAGGTGAGGGCATCACCAGGTGGGCAGGAGAGCGAGAGGCTCCCTCCTCGAGGCCGTGGACCACGTGGCCGTAGAGAGGACAGGCAAGTGCACTGTGTCAGTGCAGGTCACAAGCAAGAGCACTTTGTTCCCCCCCGGACTACGTTAGCTTGGGCTTGGGATGGAGTAGGTGCTTTCTCAGAATGACCAGTCACCTTCCCAAACTTTTGCACAATTTGGGTGGGTTTACCTCCCGACCAACCCCTTCTTTCCCCACGTTGAGCTGCCAGGCCTCTTTGGTCCAGCACCTACCCCTGCTCCATTTTGGCTACTGTGGCACATGCGCGTGCCTTCCCCGTCCCCTCCTCAGTCTGGTACCGAAAGGGAGGGGCTTTTTTTCTATGCAGATCTTGCTAGCTCCTCGCATGCTCAGTGCACGAACCACCCCCACCCCGCCTCTCACTTGGCCGATGGGGCAGACTCCCCTCACTCGGACTGACTCACGATGATAACATTATCAATTTTTAAACATTTTTATTCATTTATTTTTAGAGAGGGGAAGAGAAGGAGAAAGAGGGAGAGAAACATGTGAAATTGATCAGTTGCCTCTCACAACACCCCCCAACTGGAGACCTGGTCCACAACCCAGGCATGTGTCCTGACCAGGAATTGAACCTGCAACCTTCTGGTTCACAGCCCGGCACTCAATCTACTGAGTCATACCAGCCAGGGCATCATTTTATTTTTAATTTAGCCAGTATAGTAGTATTTCAGTATGGTTTTAATTTGCACACATAGTACTCTTGATGGCTAACAATGTTAAGTATCTTTTTGTATGTTTATTGGTCATTTGTGTGCCTTTGATTTGATGGGAAAATTTGTTAAAATCTTTTGTGCTTTTATGTATTGGGTTTTGGTCTCTCATTAGGTAGGAAGAACTGTTTGTATATTTTTAATTCAAATCCTTTTTTCATTATTCGTATTGGAATATTTTCTTTCATTCTGTGGCTAAAAATTTTTTATAAAAGAGGTTTCATTTTATTCTCCAGTTTTCTAATTGTTTAAAGCAGGAGAGTAAATCTGGCCTGCTTTTCTGGGGCAGGGACACTATAACCCTAGTGAGTGGCAGGTAGTTGGCAAACACTATCTGCCCAAAGGTCTCTTCTGAATGAATTAGTATTCAGAATATCAGCAAAAGGAGGCATATTTTTCTAGACTTTTCTGAGAATAGATGAGTTATTTTTCTTTGTTATAATTCTTTTTTTAAGATTTTATATATTTATTTTTAGAGAGAGGGGAAGGGAGGGGGAAAGAAAGGGAGAGAAACATCAATGTGTGGTTGCCTCTCATGTGCCCCCTACTGGGGACCTGGTGTGCAACCCAGGCGTGTGCCCTGACTGGGAATCGAACCGGTGACCCTCTGGTTCACACGTTGGTGCTCAATCCACTGGGCCGCACCAGCCAGGGCTGTTAGGATTCTTTTTAAATTTATGAAGAGTGAATATTCTTGTTCTTGTTGAAGTTTAAAAGACAACAGAAATGTATTTTGGTCTTGGCGGCAGCACTCAGTATTCTAGGAGGTATTCATTCCTCTTTTGTGAGAGAGGTAAACCTACCTGAACATTAATCTGGTCAAGCTCCCATCTGTGTGTTTAAAGCTGATTGTGCTATAGGCGTCCTTGAGTCATTGAAGAGCTAAGGAAAGTTTTCTAGTAACAGTTTGTTCCAGGGATTTAAAAAAGAGGCATAATGTTCAGCGTTTCTATGTTAATTAAATTAATTTCGCATTTATGAAAGAATGATCTTTGAATTAAGGTTCTTTAGGCAGTTTTTCCTTTTGTCTTTTTGACAGATTTTAAAAACGTGCTTTGGAAATTGTCTAACACATGCACCTTTTCTTCCGAGGTTGAAGAATGAAAAAGCATTGCGTCTCAATCTTATTGGTGAGTGCATTTACTTATTTCACATTTTGGCTAGAGTATAGAGAAATTCTGCCCTATACTTCTTTTTCCTTTGACTTTCCTAATGAAATAATATTTCTAAATGCATTTTCTTTACTAGACTTGATTAAAATAAAACAGAATAAAATCAATTGTTAAACCCTTAGAGTAGTGTTAATATCTGGCTCAGTTTTTCAAGAATTGTCTGGTTTGTAATCACCTACCTACCTCCCTGTCTGCATGTCTGTCTGCCTCTGCTCGACTGCCTGCCTGTCTATATCTCTGAGTGTCTTTTTATAGCTGAGGTTTAATATGAGCTCCCCAACCATTAGAATTATGGCCTCAGTATTTTGGGGGCAGCAGTTCCTATATAAGGTTTCCAGAATACTCAGACTGTATCTCTGCGTCACGGTCTCTGGGAGAGGGGCAGGGAGGTTAAACTTATTGTTAGAAATTTTTACTAATAAGCCTGACACTTCAAAATAGTGAATATTAGGCTTTATTACCAAAATTAAAGGTATTTGAACCTTTATCTAATACTTCATCAGGTAAGGGAATAGTATTTCTAAGCAGGTTATCAGTGCTGGGGTAGGGCCAGTTCTTCATCCCCAATTTTGAGAAATCTTACTGTAAGTGGCCCTGATAGTCTGATTTACCCATAAGAATGAGTATCTTATATGTTCAGTATATTTACTAGCTTGGAGGCCGTGAACAGTTGGCTTAACCTTTCTCATGTGTAAGTGGGAATAACAGTAGTGCTAAAATCATAGGATTATGGAGCTCTCTTGACTTTGTGCTGCTGATTAAATGTTCAGCAAATACCGTTTCTATCATTAATCTGTTTTCATTTTATTGTTTTAGACAGGTTCTATCCTTTGCCTTTTACATACTTAAAACTTCATGTTCTGTTAAAGTATTCTTTTTAAAAAATTTATTGCATGTTTATTGTGTAAGGAAGATATAGAAAAGCATTCTGTTCACGCCAGTCCCTTCCCAGAATTAAAATGTGACAATTTAATTGCTTAAAGACTGGTTTAATTAGCTTTGAGCCCACGCAAGGCTTATATTTAGCCTTGAAGTAAATTTTGATAGTTATGAACACGTTGATGTTGAAAACCATAATGAACACCTCTTTGCTGAAATGATAACTGTGATACATATCTTGGTACTCATTACAGGTGAAAAACTGCAGTGGTTTCAAAATCATCTTGATCCCCAAAAAGGAGGATATTCAAAGAAAGATGCTTGTGAATTAATTGAAAGGTAAACACTGCGCATGTTACAAGCAAAGGGTCAGAGAAAGGGATTTTTTACTCTGGTTCTGCAAGAGCCAGTTCTCATCTTGGTTTGCAGAAGAGCCAATGGGCTTTGTCGTCAGAAAGACTTTGGGTTTATGCCCCAGCCTCTTCACTTCGGCAGGTTGTAATCTTTCTGTACTTGGACCGGTAAAGGCTTCCTGGGGAAACATCATCTGAAGTGACCCCCGAAGGGTAGGGTCAGCAGGTTGAGCTAAGTCCTTTGAAGAGCCTCTAGGCAGAGACCAGGAGGATCTAAAAGGCCCCAAGGTGAGAACGCCACACAGCGATCTGCCAGACCTCCAGTATATGCCTGAAACCGCAGGTTCAAGGAGGGGATTGTGGCGGGTGTGGTAGGGGACGATCAGCTCACGAAAGACCTCAGTTATCACTGTAAGAGTTTGGGCTTGACCAAAGGACATTCAGGGCCATGGGAGGCTTTTACAGCCCACAGCCGAGATGATCATATTTAAAATTTAGGAAAGTCACTGTAGTGAGAGTGACAATAATGGCCTGACGGGACATGAACTGGGCCAGGAGACCCTGGGAGGCTGATGAAACACTCCAGACAGTAGGTGGCGTGGCCTCTGCTTGGTCAGTAGCAGTGTGGTGAAGAGACGTGAAGGATTCCGGAGATAAGAAGAAGGTAGAAGTCTTGTCTTTGGTGAAAACCTAGATGTGTGGTAACAGGGAGGGAGGGTGAGGCACGAAGGAGCGGCGAGGGGAGTGAATGGTCTTACTGTTTCCCAAGAGAGAAAAAGGTGGAGCAGGTTTGGTGGGGGTGGGTAGGGCAGGGTGAGGACTGGCGTGGTTTTGATGTGTGGAGCCTCTGGGACTTCCAGTCGGAGATGTGTTCAGGGTGGTTGAATGTGCATCCGGAGTTTAACGGGTACTTCCGTAGCAGGCAGTGATTGGGTTGCTGAAATTTGGGGAATGGTTAAGTTATCCAGGGAGGTGTGAGGTCTGAGGACTTGAAATCAGGAATATAAACATTTCAAGGACAGGTGAAGGCCGGGGGCTAGATTTTAAATGAAGTACCATAAGCCAAATACCCAGACTTGGCCACTGAGATCCATTCTTACTTTTCAGGTACTTAAATCGGTTCAGCAATGAGCTGGAGCAGATCGAGTTGCACAACAGCATCAGAGACAGGCAGGGGAGGCGGCACTTCTCCCGGGAGACAGTCATCAGACAGACGATGGCCCGCGAGCGACAGCAGTTCGAAGGATACGGCCTCGGTGCGTCCACCGTGCTTTTCCTTTCTCTCTAAAGTGCATGGCAGTGTCGATTTGTGGTTTGTTTCAAAGGCTTATTATTTCATGCAGTTTAGTTTGATTTTCTTTTGTTTGTGAGTATATGGAATCAGCTTTTAATTCATTCTTTTTTCCCTACAGTCCCTGAAACTGTCAGTTGTGACAGTGACATCATGTCTTTCTCCTTTGAGAGTAACATTTTCCTCTTGCCTCTGGGGCACACCTGTGTGCTTTGTCCCAGAGTTAACTATGTTCCTATCTCCGGTCACATCTAAGTTTCTTTAGAAGGTGCTGTGTCCTTCTGTCTTTGTTGTTTTTGTAGAACCAGGCTATCCTATTGCAGTCATTCTTGACAAACTGTACAAATCAAATATTGATTCTTGGCATTACAACACTTCTTACCATTCCTTAAGACCAGTATGTTACTAGTTCATCTGTACTGTCTAAAGGAAGGCACTTGAAAGGAGAAGGTACCTTAAGGCTTGCAAAGCCTGCAAACAGCCGACAACCAAGCCTACATATAGCCTACAAATGGTCTTTGATTGGCTTATTAATTGCCAGTATTTTAAAAATCTGGTGATTTCACATGACAAATGTAGATTTCTCGCTTGTCTTAAAAAATTAGATGGTCTGGCAACATCATCTGCTAGACATACTGTGCTCCCCTTTTCATGCAAAGTGAGCCCTTTATGGCTTCTGTGACCTGTCCGAATTGCCAGCATCACGACTGTGTACTGGGGACGTTATGCAGTGGAGTAAGGCTTGCTCGAACACAGCAGTGTGGTTCCACAACAGTGGCTCAGACAACTGAGACGCCGGTAGGTGGCCAGCAGGCAGGTAGGTCGACACTGAACACAGGGGCGGTTCACGTCCAGGCAGGACGGAGTGGGGCACGTCGAGATTTCATCAAGCTACTCAGAATGGTTTGCAAAGTAAAACTTACAAATCATTTCTGTAACTTTCCATTTCATAATTTTGAACTGCGGTTAGTCTCGGATGACTGAAACTTCAGAAAGTGGAATTGCAGATGGGGGCGGCTGTCGGTTTGTTTTCTTTTACAGATGCTGTGCTAGAACTTGGTAGCATTCTGCTTACATCACCTTCCCAGACTAAACTCTTTATCCTTTCAAGGCTTATTTTCATACAGCATTGTAACAGTGCTCTGAAGTTGTTTTACTTTGGGTGCTCTTGCTATCAGTTATTATTTGTTCACCTGAGATAAAAAAGGAGGAAACTGTAAAATGTTGTAATTTAGAAGACATTGCCTGATGGATATCAATTATTTTCTCTCCCAGAGATTCCAGATATTGTAAATGCAGGTAATCTGAAAACTTTCAGGTGAGTCTGTTACTTTTACTGTCCCTTGAAGCAGCAATATGTAGAGTACATGAGACATAAAATTCTCCTCTCTTGAGTCTAGACATCAGAGTTGACAGAAAATCAGGCTTTTTTCAAACTGTTTCTCTTTGATTTAAGTAGAATTTTCCTAAGTTGTGTTTATTTGAAACACCAGATATACACTGAAATGATAGTGACATGAGGCTTTTATATCCTTTTCAAAATATTTAAAAATACTTCACTATAGTAGTTAAAAGAACCTGATCTCACTATTCCTCCCCCAGTGCTTATGTTTTAAAAGGAAGAAATAATAGCAACCGGTTTGATGGCTCGGCGTCAGCCCCAGACTGATGTGCCGCACCCTCCTTTGGAGCAGTTGGGTAAAGGAGAGTGATACCGGGAGAAGGGCTGTGTGGTCCAGAACCAGGTGGTCCAGGGCTTTCTCCAGTAGTGCTTTTTTAATTTTATTTTTCTAAATCCTCATGGGAGGACATGGTTATCGATTTTAGAGAAAGGGGGGAAGGAAGGGAGCGAGAAGGAGAGAAACATCAATTGGTTGCCTCGTATGTACCCTGCCGGGGGACCAAACCTTCAGCCTAGGCATGTGCTTTGACCAGGAATCAGTCCACAACCTGTTGGTCTGCAGGACGATGCTCCAACCAGCTGGCCCACACTGGCTCGGGCTAATGGTACTTTCCTGACCAGAGACACCACTGAGTAGGATTTCGGTTTTTTCTTTCAAGTATGGCTTTTTTGTTTTTGTTATTTTGTTAAAGATTTTATTTACTTTTAGAGAGAGTAGAAGGGAGGGAGAGAGAGAGAGGGAAACATCAGTGTGTGAGAAACATACCAGTCGATCAGTTGCCTTGCCCCCTACTAGGGACCCGCCCGCAACCCAGGCATGTGCCCTGATGTGTCCTTTCATAGGCTGGGCAGCTGGGGCTCAGTCCACTAGTCTACCAGCCAGGTGGGTTGTTTTGTTTTTAAAAAATGATTTTTCATTAAATATTTTTATCTTGACCATGTTGATGGATCTGAAGTTTTGTTAATTGAAATTAGGTAAATTAAGTCTCATATTCTTTGACATCGTTAAGCTCATTTTATATTTTATATTTATGAATTCATAGGAAAATACTTAGTATTTAATACTTGTAAAATATTGACTCTGATAAAAATTTACCAGTCATATTTAAGAAGTAGTTTACTTTTATGCTCATGTATATGTGTTTATAATTTAGATACATGGAGCTTAAGATTCTTTATATTCCTTAATTTTTTTTTGCATGTAACAGTAATTAATTAACTACATTTGTGTGTGGTCTTTTTTCTAAAATAACCGTGTTTTACCTGTCCCAAAGAAAACCAGAAGAGAGAGAAGAATTTAGCATAGAGTGTTGAGTATTCCTAGAGTTTAGTTCTCAGAGCACCTTGAGAACTAAACACTAGCAATGCTCTGAAAGTAAATGGTCATAGGATAGTCACAGTAAACTCTGAGGTTGAAAAACTCAGTTTTCTACTATAACCATACAAGTCACTTGATTACTGAAACTTACCGTGATTGATACTGTGTCTAAAAGGAAAACTTTTCTGACTCCGCATTTTGAAGACTTGCCAGGTACGGCGTAGTTTTCCCTGGTGAGATTCTTCAGGCCGTGGAGCCTGCCTGCTGAAGCGCCCGGGTTACGGGAGGGGAGGGGGGCAGGGGCCCCTTGTGACTGCAGTGGGACAGGCCCCTGCGCTGCTCCTCGAGTTTGGATGTGGGAATCCTCTCTCATGCATTCGTATTGTTTCTTTGTGGTGTATTTGAATCTGCTGTAATTTTTTTTTTAGATTTTCTGCTACTTTCAGAGTTTCGAATATTGACTTTTTCCAGTTTCCCCACCTCACACCCTGCCAACCCTGTATACTCTTTCTTTTTTGTAGGGAATGGGATTTTGATCTGAAGAAATTACCAAACATTAAAATGAGAAAAATGTGTGCTAATGACGCCATTCCCAAGAGGCGCAAGAAGCAAACTAGTACAGCTGTTGACGAAGATTCAGGGGAATTGGAGTTAAATGATGAACCAAGTGGCTCAGATGAAGAAATGACTGCGGTGGACTAATTGTTCTTCACTTGAGTTGAAAATAAATAATTTAAGAGCCTCAAGTTACACTTGAATTGATTATGGCAGATAATTGTCTGGACACAAGCATTTGCTACTTAGCTTGTTTTACATGATCAGAATCCCACTTGCAGTTTAAAATAACCTTATGAAATAACCCTATAAAATAACCTTATTTTTATTTAAAAAACGAATAGTTTTTTTTATTTACATTAAATTGCTAAACTAGCCCCAGCTGTTGTGGCTCACTGGATTGAGCGCTGGCCTGAGAAACAAAGGGTTACTGGTTTGTTCCCAGTTGGGGCACATGCCTGGGTTGTGGGCCAGGTCCTCAGTAGCGGGCTTGTGAGAGGCAACCACACATTGATGTTTCTCCCTTTCTTCCTCCCTCCTTTCCTTTTTCTCTAAAAATAAATACATGAAATAATTTTAAAAAGATTTAAAAGTAACATTCTCTGAAAATTAAATCTAAAAAACATTTAAAAATAAATTGCTAAAATAGATATAGTGAAATAAAATAGTGATCTTTAAGATCTATTTTATCTAAATATTGGTCTAGAAAGAGCAGTATAAATAAGGTGAAGAGAAGATTTACTGTCTCCCTCACGTCCGCCTAGGGTTGCGCGGTCGCCGTTTCGGGGCCCGGGCAGCAGCCCGCTCTCCGAAAGGGTCCGCGGGCACTTCTCGAGCAGTGGTGACCGCAGAATTGCCCCCGGTACTAACATTTTGCTAATCTCCCTCTTAAACTTTAAACCTGTTTTCTTTCCTTACACAACTGGGAAAATTTGATGTGGAAATCATATACTGACGGGTTGTACGTTATATTTATTTGTTGTATTTGAGTCAGAGCTAAGTGGTAAAAAAAAAAATGCAGGGACTGTTACTTTTTTTGTCGATCTCCCAGACTTTATTGGCCATCTTCTGTTAAAGGGGTAGCTCTTCCTGTTCATGTGTTATTTTCCGCTTTCTCATTGTGAAAAGTGATAGATTTTATTTATGGAAACAGACCTAAAGGTTAAAGGATCAATTTTTCAATTGTGTGCATTTTTTTTCCTTCTTAGAGATAGGTTAAATGACCTCTGGGATAACTCAGTATTTTAAAAGGCGTGAATATCACGGATATACCAGAATGTTGTTCTTCATAGAACTTGTGTGAAGACACCCTTTACTCTGTGTCTAAAGGGTGTAATGTAAGCGTCTCTGAGTATTTTCAAGAAAGTAACAAAAAATACTGTATGAGGTTCACTGGATATCATCTGAGTTTTGTTAACAATTACTAAAAGTGTTCAGGCTTTTTTACTTACGAAAGTTAAAAATAAAATTTATTTCCATAATTTCACTTTTTAAGGTTCTAATCGTTTCATTTGCGGTGATGTAACCGATGCCAACTTGCTTTTGCTTTCTTGTGACAGTGGTTTTATGGTTACATAGGAAGGTCGCAGGCTCTAGTCCCTGGAAAATTCCCTTTTTACATGTTCATATTTAGTCTCAAATGCCTATAAAAACTGAGTCATAAAGTAGAGTAAAAAGAATAATAAATGCTTTATGTGGTCTGGCATTTAAAAAGCCACACTGTTAGATGAGTAACTTGTGAGGATGGCACATCATCCTTCCCCTCAAACATTTGTTCTGTTTTCTCTGTGCTATAACAGTAGAAAGTATGACAAGTCACGATGCTGGGAACGAGGACAGAAATACTTGTTGAATGAATGACTTCGCCATTGAGGGCCGCATTTGTCATGTTGCGCCTTGCACGCCCCAAGTGGCCCTTAATCATTGACTAGAACATGTTCTCTCTGCAGTCCTGGCCTAGACCCCTTTAGGGCAGTGGTCTGGCTTCTGCAGTGCACGGCCACGGGAGAGTCAGAGTAACTCACTTCATTGGCGCGTCCGTATAAGCTTGGGCTTGGCAAACTTTTGTGTTGTTTTTAGGAGTCAGGCAGTAAATATTTTAAGGGTTTCAGGCCAGTTGCACTTTCTGTTGCATAATCTTGTTTGTGTGTCTGTTTTACCACCCTTTAAAAATGTAAAAACCGTTCTTAGTTCAATGCCATTCATGAATAGGCCGCAGGCTGGATTTGACCTGTTTGCCAACCTCTAGTCTAAATCAGCGAGCTGAACTGCCATGGACATAGGCCAATGATACATTTCTAAGCTCAGAACAACTAATGGACATCTGTGGCCCCTTTTCCTAATATCCTGCTCATTTCTTGCCTATAAAAAGACAACATAGGCAAGTCTTTTCTGGACTCTTCAGCCTCAGATAGATTTTTTGTACTCCTACCCCTTGTGCTTCAGGGGCAGGAGGTTGGACAGGGGTCTTTTTCACTCTACTGTCACTTCCAAGTCACTTCTCCTTCAGTTCTTTGAAGTTGTCTCCCTTCCTTTATTGTTTTACCTCCCAGAAGAACTTTATGCTCATGGCTTGAAGACTTTAGCTTTTGGCTCCGTTTTCTTCTCTCCTATTTCAGTAATTTTAGTGATTCCATGAGCAAATCTAACATATCTAACACTGACCTTGAAGTTTCTAGGTCATTTTCTTTTTCCCATCAGAGACTTCTCAGTGCTCACACCCACCCAGATCCTTGTCAGCACCTCAAATTTCTATGAACTTGACTATGAGTATTTTCTTTTCCATTCACATTCTCCCCTTCCTCTACATTGCTGAAGTTCTGCACTTTAACCCCATTGTCTCGTTACACATCACCTATTTCCCGTCTTCAGATTTTTTCTGGCTCAGAGTTCCTAGTTGCTTTCTTGATATGCCCTCACTCCTCTGCCCCTGATTGCCCAGTGTTCCTCTTTAAAACCCAAACTAAGAAAGCATTATGCTGAGTGAAATAAGCCAGGGGTTGAAAGACAAATATCATGTGATCTCACCTTTAACAGGAAGCTAAACAACAAAACAGACAAGCAAGCAAAATAAGGGCAAATACACTGAAATAGAGAACAGAGGGACAACAACCAGAGGGGAGAGGGGAGAGGGGAGGGAATTTAAGGGGAAAAATGGGAGGGATTTAGAGGAACAAGTATGAAGGACACAGGGACCATAACTAAGGGGGGGTGGAAATGGGAGGGAGGTGGGGTTCATGGGGGAGGGGTGGGCTGGAATGGGAGAAATAAACAGAAAACTGTACTTAAAAAATAACCAAATAAAAATTAAAAAAAAATAAAACCCAAACTAAGGCTCAGTTATGTCTCCTTCATATGGGTTCCTAAGCAGCCCAACCTTACTGGAGAATATCAGACCATTTTCTGACTCATGTTTATAAATCTCAAGTGGATTTTCAATACTGCTTACAATTTTACTGGGTTTCCCTAAGAAGCTCATTTTCTACATTTGAGATACTTTTTTACTGTATTTTAATACTTTTTAGTTTGACTTTAGGCTGCCTTTCTCAATTGTGAGTTGTTAATTTTCTTATATATAATTGAGGAAATAGAAACGTATTTTCTTTTCTTTTTTTTTAAATGACTGGCCCTTCAGGGTTTTTTTTTTTTTTTTAAAGATTTTATTTATCTTCAGAGGGGAAGTGAAAGAGAGAGGGAGAGAAATATCAATGTATGGTTGCCTCTCGTGTGTCCCCTGCCGGGAACTGGCCTGCAACCTAGGCATGTGCCCTGACTGGGAATCGACCCATGATACTCTGGTTCGCAGGCCCGCACTCAATCCACTGAGCTACACCAGCCAGGGCGTAGTTTCTTTTGATTTAATGGATGTTGTAGCTTTCTCCTTTCAAAGGCCAACACTCCTCCTACCTGCATTCTGGTTCCCACTCCCTACTGTCTTCTCTGGAATCTTGATTCACCCCAAGATTTTCACCTGATTTTTCAAGCCAGAAAATGCCCGTAAGTCAGGGTGTCAAACTCATTTTTACCAGGGGCCACATCAGCCTCCAGGTTGCCTTCAAAGAGCCGAATGTAATTTTTGGACTGTATAAATGTAACTACTTAACTCTAGGGCCAAGGAGCTCGGCGCCGTCACCAGGTAGAAACCAGGTGCTTGGCTGGATACAAGGTGGAGGGCCAGATTCGGCCTGCAGGACTTGTGCTTGCCACCTGTGCTGTAAGTCATCTTTGATTCTTCCCTTTCTCCTGCCCATGCCCTCCCCCAGTCTAGTTTAATTAGTGGCTATTTCTGGCTCTATTTCCTGAAGAGGAAGTCAGATTCGTCCGTGCCAGGCCGTCCCCACTTTCACCCCTACCTAAGTCAGCATCTCTGGCTACACCACGACCAGTAAAGTAGCTTCCTTACTGGCCACCTTACTGCTGTTCCTGCTCCGCTTATGAGAGAAAGGTGCAGGTGACCTCGCAGGGCCCCGTGCCCGCACATCTGTAGCCTCTCCCATCGTCCCTACCGGAGTGGTAATTTGTTACACGTGATGAACCTACACTATCAGCCCTCACAATCTGAATGAAGTTCAGCTTCCCTACCACAAACCAGCAAGGCCTGGAATGATTTGATTCCCATTTCTTCAACCTCAGCTTGTTTCCACCAGCCTGTGGCTCACTGGACACCCCGCCTTCTGTCCATACCTGAAATATCCACGCTGTCTCCTGCAGGGGGACAGCCCTCCCGGCACCCTGCTGGCCATGGTGTCTCCACGTAGTTCCGCTTGGGCCGGGTTTGGTCACAGCTGCCCTGAGCTTTAGGAGAATGCCCTGTGATCTTCCTGGAACACAATCGAGGACACTTGGGAGAACCTGCCACAGGCCACTTCACATCGGCCTCCCGATCTTCCAGGGAGGGCCTGTGGCACAGCCTGCCGTCACCTCCTGGGCTCTGGTGAAGATGAGCGTCCCGTCTCGCCATCTTGTTCGGGCGCAGCTGCAGGCTGTAAACGGAACTGCACGTGGAATCAGCAACAGTGATTCCTCGTGCAGCTCAGCAGCAGCGCTGCAGCCCTTGGCTTCTCTCAACCTGTCAGCTGGTCCTTTTTCTTTTTGTGTCTTTCCTTAGGGCAAGACTCATGGAGAATGGGCACCTTCGTTTGTCTTTCTTTCGCTGTCTCTGAGTAATGAGCTGCGACCCTACCATGGGCTCATGGTGCCTTTACTGGCCAAGTCTTGCCTGATGTTTCCCAGCCAGGACTTCAGCACTTGCTGTTTTCTCTGCTGGCATTGACAGTTCCCTGAGTTAAACTCTCTGCCCACACCCTTGCTGCCCATGTTCCCTCTGTCACACTCTCTGTTTTAAGAGTATTAGCAGAGCACACAGCAACAATGGTCTGTGATGGAGGGGTGTTGGTTGTAGTTTGGGAGATGGGAGAAGACTCAGTTCAGATATCCGGTTTGGACAGAGAACGAGCTCATACAATCTGCAGTCTCATCAAGTGTCCAGAGGCCCCCTGGGCCAGGCACTCTCTGTCACTGATTCTAGCCTACAGGTTGGGGTTTGGGGGAGAGACGCTTTCCTCCCTAATCACTGAACCTCTTAGATTAGAAATAGACTCCAAAATTTTTCTCTTAGCATTTATCTGTGAAATGATCTGAACCCACTCTTTCATTATAGCTGAGTAGAAAAATGCTGTTGTGTTCCTTTGGATAGCCAAGCTGTATTCGTGAGAAAGTCCTTTCTCTATACTACAGTGTTAAAGTTATTATAAACAGGGTTGGGAAGTCTCTACAGATTATTTCTGTTGGTTTTCTCTTGTTAATGTATCTGTTGATTTCTTCCTACAATGTCATGGGTTAGTCAATGTGTGTTGACCTCAAAATGATTGTAAGTAGGTTCACACCCTGCCCAAAAACCCAGACTTCTGGGAAACCTGAAGAACCAAGCCTGTTCGAATGCCGCAGAGACAACTCGGCAGAAATCCTGTAAGTTTATCAAAAATTATAGAAAACACAACAAAGGTATGAGTCACTTGTTTAATATACAAAGTCTGTCACAGATAATTATTTTTTTTTCCTTAATTTGCCTTAGTACACATTATTCACAAAACAGTAAATTGTTAATGCAAGAGAATCAGGTAAAACCAAAAAAGTACAAATGCTCAATCTCAAAAATTGCACACAGCTAAAACAATTTTTTTCTTGTTTGTTTTAATGCAAGATCCGATTTCAAAATGGGCTTTCTTCAGATGTGAGGCAACCCTGCAGCCCAAAAAACAACAGGACACCCTTTCAACTGCATTGATGTGTAAAATAGCACCTTTGGGCTGACTTAAGAAAAAAGGTTTTCATCTTTCTTAATTAAAGTGTAAGTCCTACACAGTTATTATATAACAACTACAATAATGATAATCGTAAGTTTTAAGAGCTCCACTTTGTCCAAAGTATCCACTGGCAAGGCAAGGACAGGTAAACTATGTCAGGCCGATGGAATAATCTTCCCTGTCTCAACCCCAAGACAGGTATAATAATGATGTCATTGTTCCCTAATGAGCAAATTTTCCAACCCAAGAGTAGCTGTTTGAGGGGCACCCAAGGACCTTTTGCAAAACAAATGAACAAGGAGGCCATCTCTCTGGAACCATAACCACATGTAACAGCAGCTCAGTGAGATTTAATCTCGGGACACTCTGCAGGACTCTGGGTACATTGCCAGTCTTCATTCAGTGTCTGCATTGCCATATCACAGGCCGATGGGATCACTTTGTTTTGTTTTTCATTTTGGTTTTGTTTGTGTTTGTACTTAAGCTTCATGGCCTTTTGGGCTTCACTTATAAAAAAAGATACTTGAATTTTAATCCTTTGCAATTTAAACTTTGATCCTAGACAATAAAAGTGACAGTTCTTTAAAAAATTAACAGCATAAATGTTTGTGATGTATGGTATTGATAATACTATAGATTCATCATTATAAAAAGCCAAAGTTTTTAACGGAACTGTAAGCCCATTCTTCAATTTCAGTCCTTTGTCTCCATTCCATTTTATTTTTTTATCGGCAGGGAAACATGCTTGAAAAAACCATCATTCTGGAGAGCAGATTTTCTCTTTGAAGGGCATAGCCAGTCCACAAAAGCCAAATCTTTCCACAGAAAGGACTAATGTACCATTGCCACACAGAACATAAGAAGAAAATAATCAACATTATGTTTTAAGTGCACATAATTATTTAGATGGAACCATAAACAGCCATTGCAGAAAAACTTTTTAAGAGATTTACATTCAGGAGTTCACGGTTCAAAAAGGTCAGAAGAATAGCAGAATAAAATGTACTGTATTTTCTGGGATCCACACCATTTAAGACGCACCTAGGTTTTAGAGGAGGAAAATAGGAGAAAATTTTTTGAAGCAAAAAATGTAGTAAAAAAGTGCATCTTCTAGTCTAAAAAATATGGTAGATTTTGACCTGCTAGAGAACTATATTATTTTGTCATTAAAAAAACCTGTACAAGTTAATTTTGAGAATTTAGGTGTGGTTTTAAAACACCCTGTCATCTTTGAACTTTCATACCATACTGTTTATTTTGACTTTTCATTTTAGAAATGTTTTCTTAGTGTTAAGGGTAGCCCTTCATACATGTGCCCTTATCTGAGCCAATCCGCTTCCCACTGTGAAATGAGCTATGAACCCACCTATCTTGCTTAGGTTTGCACAGCATTTAGATGGTATTTTTGGTGGTGATAATCCTTTTCCTTCCAGAGCAAACAAGAGAAATAATTTTGTTGTTGGCTGGTGACTAGATTTCCCCCTGGAATATTTGTAAAGAGCATATTGCCATTGTTGAACCACAGGAAAAATGGATTCGTAAAAAGCTTAGAAAAATCAACACCTATACTAAATCAAGGTTAATCCCTTGGGTGATGGGCCCCAGAGTTTAGTTTGTTTAAGTTTCATAATTTTAATTACACCCCTTATGTCCAAATAAGGACAGAAATTTTGGTCCAGTTTATCTACCTCAACTTCCTTATCCCTGTGCATTTATTCAACATCCCTACAAGAGGTTTTAAGAAAGATGAGTCATAAATCTTTTGTTCCCTGACCAAAAACATTTTTCTCATGTACAGACATGAGTACACACATGCTGCACACACAGAGTGGACATTATTTCCCTTTTCTTCATTTCTGGGAATCAGGACTATTTGGACTCAGGGTGGGCACTGATGTCCATGTCATCTTTCTCCCTGCAAGGTTCTCTTTCCCCCTCTCCCACGGTGTCTGTGAAGAACAAGCCCAGGGATAATCAAAGTGCGTTGCTGCAGTACCCGGACCTGTGCATGGCCACATCTAGGCTTTGGTCCTCACGGCCATCAAGGCTGCCTTCTCACAATAATAAATATGACAGCTAACAAAAATAAGTCACCTTTTAAAAATGTAGAACATCTCTTGGACGGGTCACTATATCTACAATCGTTAATCTAGCTCAATTCAGTATCATTCACGCTTCAGTTTTACATGAATATGCAAAGAACACCATAATCAACTTAACTGTCAAACCTAAACAACTCAGTGTATTACGTATCACAGAATCTGTTGAATGTTTCTGCTTCCCAGCTGAGCAAGGGAAATGCTGTCAACTTTTACAAATAGAGTTTAAATGCTAAACCGCTCATCTGTCAAGTGGACACCTTATGTGGATTTGTTTTTTAAAAGCCTTACACATTTGACAAGAGCAAAACAGGTAACCTTTCTGTTCCCTATGCTAAGCATTTCTTGGTGGCAAACACGTTACTTTCAGAACATTGCCGCAGGCAGATTGCTTTATTTTTCTCTACTTTTGTTTTGTTCACTCTTTAACAACTTCACCTAACTTCAACCAGCCTGTTGAATTTGATTGAGTGCTTTGTAAAATGATAGCATTTGTGAGACTTTGAGTAAAACAATGAATTAAGCGGCTGTTTTGAAATATTCAACTGTATAACGAATCACAAGCCCTGTCTTTAGTGCGGGGCTGTACCAGGCCATGTACTCAATTCACAGTGAGACCTGCTGTAAGGATTAAACGATGAAGATCAGATTTTGAAGACCTGGTTCATAAGAAAAGATGTAAACTGTCTCAATAATTTTTGATATTGATGACATGTTGAAATAATTTGGATATATAGTGTTAAATAAAATACATTCTTAAAATTAATTTTACCTTTTTATTTTAAAATTTTCTAAAGGAGCCATTAAGAAATTTAAATTTTACATATTTGCCCTGCGTTTGTAGCTTACGATATAGTTCTGAGAGACAACACTGTTTCACAGGGTCCAGATAAAATATGAGACCTGATAGTTGATTTCAACTTCCATTAATTAATGGAGCCAAATAGAAATCTCTGAAAATCTTTTGTTCATGATTTAAGTATAATGCCAAGTATTAGTATCCTCAAATGGGTACTGCATCTTTTTAAAAATCATGCATCTCTCGAAACAACCAGACTGCACTGTTGCCATCAAAATCTATCACCTGTCAGAGTGTGACTATCACATGCTGCATCCCCCAGCTGTGCTTCTGAGGGGTCTTGGGGAAATGTGCACAATTTCAAGCTTAAAGCCGACCACGGTTGTTACTTCCAGATGAGACAGTTAACATCAGGAAGCCTTAGAAGACATACCCATTGCAATTCCAGTCTGTACTCGGAGCCTTTCCCCTGCTGCCGGGAAGGCTCCAGTGTCCCAGCAATCTGACCACGAACGTTGCCGAAGAGTGTGCCTTGCTCTGGCGGTTTTTTATTGTTTTAGAAATTCCTCTTCAACCAACTTTTCACATTCACATACCACACGTTAGACTCTGCTTCACGGGATCCTGGTCACCTGGTGTCTTTTCCTCCTTTTTGAGCGAAGTTAGGGACACTGAGTCAGTAGAAGAGGGAGAAGTAAGGAGACCGAGTAATTCAGGATCATTGCTGTCATTTGTAGTGGCTAAGAGCTGGAACGATACTCTTCCGAGAAGGGACTCGCCCCGTGCCCCGGGCTCCCTCACACGGGGATGACTTCGGGGGGGCTGCTTTCTGCCGAAGGCAGTGAGTTCGGACCCGTCTGTAACACAGGCACGACCACGGCATCCTTGAGGTCCATGTTGACGGCGCACGAGCAGCTCTTCTCCGGTTTTTTGGCAGTGTCCGGGCAATTCTGCACAAAGATCACTCGGTTGTAGGCCTTCAGCCTGCGCCACAGCTGGATGTAGGCTTTGCACTGAACGTACATGAAGACCAGCCCTCCCGTGAAACCGATGGCCACCACAACCAGTTTTGTCCAAAATGGCCATTCGAGGACGCCTTTGAATCAAAGAAAGAGGAGAAGGTTATCACCCCATTGTTACCTACAGATCTGGTGAATTCGTTCTCTGTAACTCCTTCAAAAGACCATGCCAGCCTGCTAAAGTTTGCAGGTAAGGAATCTGCTGCTCTATAAATGAAACAGGGCTGTCCAACCTTGTGGCATCTCTGCAGGACACTGCAAGAAGAGTTGTCTTGGGCCACACATTAAATACACTGAGACACACAATCACAGAGCAATCTCATCATGTTTTAAGTCAATTTATGACTTTGTGTTGGGCCTCGTGCAGCCTTCAGGCTGCAGACTAGACACCCCGATTGTAAAATTTTGTGACTAAGAATTATAACCTGAATTGCCTAATTGCTTCCTAAAGGTTCTGAAGGTTTTGTTAACATTGTATATGAAGGAAGTCTCTTACCTATCGCTATAGTGATATCTCCTATTTCTCTGCCTGGTATCAAGTACCTACTACAATTATCAGATATGACATAGATTTTTTACACTTACTTTGACATTCCTTGTAGTTAAATCTTTAAGGAAGGATAGTGAACATATGGAGTGAAGGAATCAGAATTTAAAATCCTTTTCACAAGGTAAAGTAATAAGTGGATGCGTGAGATCATCTTTATAAGTGCCCCCCCATCATTCCCTTTAAAAAAAACGAGAAAGAAAGAAGCTACCCCATCTCACCAGAGAGAGTGGGTTCCTGGGTACAGACATGCATAAGATTCAGGGTTACAGTCATTTTAGTCAGAATGTAGTCAAATTTTATATTTTGTTACTGAAGCCACCACTTTTTCCCCCAATATAGCCAAAATAATATCGTCTAAACATATTATCAATGTAAAAATTAGTACTATGTTTATTATACAGCAAAAGACAACTGATACATCCTTTAAAAAATGGAGCTAATCTAGTATTTACCTTGTAGGGTTTTTAGCATGGATTACGTGATTAATAGTTCTTGGCATATAATGCCATAAGAATGTAAATTGTTACTGTCATTGCCATCTGAGTGATTTACCATATTTTGCCTTGTATAATGTGCTTCCGTGTATAATATGCAACCATGCTTTTGGTCCAAACTGTCAGGAAAAAATATCTTTCATTTAAATTTTAAATGTAATTATTTTTTTATTTATATTTAGAAACAAAACTGATTATCATATTTCAGGGTATTATTTTGCATACAGATATCATTATTGCTTTCTAGAGTTACACTTTTAACATATAAGCATAAATAAAAGAATCTAAAACATTTATATAGCTATAGAATTAGTACTACCCATGTATAATGTGCATCTTTATTTTACCCTCAAAAATGTGGGCAAACATGTGCGTTATACACAGCAAAATACGGTAAATGTCTCAGATCTTTGCCTCAACGGGTAGTAAAATTAAGAGTAAAGCTTTCAGCGGTGCCTAAACTAAGACGCTTCTAACTTCATTGGGCTTCAACCCCTGGCTCTCCTTCCTGGACGTGAGGCAATGAGAACCAGGGATCCTGACGTCCGGTTTGCAGCCGGCCCAGCCACTGGCATTTGTAAGCACTACTCCTCCTCACCCTGGGCCCCTGGGCATTCCTTGCGATTCTAATTCCCTTCATGGGAAAAGCACAGAACTCTCCCTGGAAGTGAACTACAATAAAAGGTCCTGAAATGCCTGAAAAGGGTCAGTGGCTGCTCTGTGTGAAGAGTTTGGAAACACTGATGCCAAACTTTGAGGCCACAGTGACAATGGCTTGTAAGCTGGCATCTGCCCACTGGCCCCTTCAGGCTCATCTCCTTTCCAGCAATATTGTTTCTATGAAAATATATTTCATTGGAAATAGAACGGGGTCCCCACCCCTCTCCACTGGAGGCACGCATGGTGCGAAGTCACCTGTAACGTCTTGCTTCTCTGTTTATTCTTTTAAGTTCAGCCAGGTGAGCCACAAACTCCAATGTGGGTGTTTATAATATAGCTGCAGATAAGGCAAATTACTGATTTCCTCATCTTTAAAACCATGGTCTCTAAGGTCTCTTCCAGCTTGTGAATTTGAATTCTCTGCACATTCTGCATATGTTATGTAGAAGGCCATGTGACTAGGCAGGGACAGTGTATGTTTTGAAAAAGTAAATGCTAACTTGGGATCTTTTGGGGTGGGTGCTTAGGTTATGGAGAGTTATAAAATATGTTTCTATAATGGTGTGTAGGACTGGAAGAATCGAGGGGTCGTTTTCTCCTTTGCTTTATCCTGGTTGCTTTTTTGTAGTTGGTATATTATTGAAAAGAAAGAAAGGAAGAAGAAAGTTTCACATATTTGTAACTTTTTTCTTATTTTAATGGTAATATTCACTGTGAGTAAATAGGTATGCTACGCGTGTACTATTGTATAAACACAACGGTTTAATTTATCTGATGCAAGGTCAAGTTCATGGTATCTTTGAAAGATGAATCATAAAAAGAAATTTTGGAGAGCATTCAGTCCAACTTAGTTTTGACAAATAAATGAGGACATTGAGCTTGAGAGTGATAATTATTTTGTTCACAGTAACTAGCCAGTCAGTGATCGAGGCCGAATGAGGGCCTTGGCCTCTGAAAACCAGCCCAATTCAGTGTTGACCATACAGTGTTTGGACTGTGAACAATAACAGCCCATGTAATTAATTTTAAAAGAAAGAGTTTAAACAATAATGCTGAAAAGGAAGATACTGTATGGATTACTGGGAAGTGATTTTTAACATATACTCTAAACAGATGGTTAGAGGCATAGTTCTTATCTGCGCAACTCAGCCACAGCCAGCCAAAGTTTTGGAGCCTCAGCTAATGCCAAGTGCTTTCTGGGTAATGAGTCATGGTCCCTACCCTGGAGACACATAGAGGTGTACAAGAGAATCAGTCATGGGGGGAAAAATCACTTGGTTATGCTGGTCTTTTATGGTGTATACATTTAAGTAATTCTGAGGCACCATTAAAATCTATACCTACAGTTTTTTAATAGATAGTATAAAACTGTTATTTTTTTCTTGGTCTGTGTTTTTGTGTTTTATTTTCAACTCACAAATAGTATACGCGAGCATTCTTCTAGAACACGCAAAGACAAGGCACAAGAGCGGTTTTTCTCCCAGATTGGAGTTGACAACATGGGTCGTTCAGGATGTTAAAGTTTCGAGTACCATGTTTCTTTTTTCTTTTTCTTTCTTTCTTTCCCCCCACCTTTCACGGGGGACAAGAAAAAGAGTGAAGTGAGAGCTGTCTGGGGCATCATGCGCATTTCATCTGAAAGAACAACCATTTAAAAACACGAAGGGATTTTTTTTCTTCGGGACTGTTATAGTAGTTCAGAAAATCGCTGTTTTATAGTGAACCTCAGTTCTGGTGGAAGAAGGACAACTTGTTCCTATTCAAATACTTTTGAAGGTTTTTGAGATGGATTGAAAATATGGTGACTTGGTACAGTTTCCCCCCCCCCCCCGCAACTTTGCAGGTACTTTCAGGGTCCGCCCCTGGAGTCCCAGTGCCAGAGGGAGATGAAAATAATGACAGCTCACACAGGCGCCCACCTGCCCGTGCTCTGGGAAGCCAGGTTTTAAACACAATTTAGACATAAGCACACATGATACCATTTACAAAAATCACCGTGGTTTCCATTTGAAATTGGCTGAGCTGGGATAGTCCCCCTGGCCAGTGGCTCTGTAGGAATAGCCACGGGCACTACTTCTTCATAAATATCTTGCTTTTTAATTCAAAAGCTCTGAACATCAAAGAAAAAAGCTATCTAATTTTCGCTTGCTTTTAAGAAACTGAAAATAATTTTTCAAAAGTCTATGGCAGAAAGCTGACTCTTGCCCATCTGTATATATTTATGGAAAGTGACCTTTGATTATCACTCAAGCTTCTCTCTCGGGAAATCTAAGGAATCTGACTGACAGTCCACAAAGGGACTGTCTTCTGAAATTCTGCATCTACCCAGAACCGAGAGAGAAAAATATGTGGAAGGAAGATTAACAATGGGAAAGCTTCAGTAGGAGGCATTCACACTTAAACGTTGCTTCTGCGGCATTGACTGGGTCACGGGGACCCAGATGCGCGCTCAGCACCAGAGGTGCCCTGGAGGGAGACTGGCTGCCCCACCTGCTCTGAGCTCAGAGGCTGTGGGTGAGGGGCAGACAGTTAAATGAGCCTTTACAATAATGTGTCCTGATGGGGCTGAGCTTCTCAGGCTGGATGCACAAGAGAATCACTCAAGGGTAATAAAATCTAAACCTCTGGGGATAAAACTGAGGCTCTGTAGTGGCCTAGAAGCTTCCCAGGTGATTCAAATTAGGCATTCCAGGTGGAGTTAGGGGCGGGAGAGGAGGGTTAAGTGCACGTTGCTATAGGAACACCTGGTTCTCCACACGTGGAGGGCATCACAATCGCTTAGCTTCTCAAGCACAAATAGCTGGACTCCACTCTCAGAATTTCTGATTCTGATCTGGGGTGGAGAGAGGCCCAAATCTGCATTTCTCCAACGAGTGCCCAGGAGATGCTGATGGTCTTTGTCCAGGAAACACATTTTGAGAATCACTGTGCTAGTAACAATGACTCTAGTGTGGGCAGCTTAACTAGGTGTCCCTGAGGGAGTGAACTGCAGAGGCAGTGGGCAGGGGGCTGGTTAGTGTGAGGTGAGTGGTGTATTTGAGTGGATGGTGGTGGACAGGAGAAGCTGGGAGGAGGGGTCTCATGCGGAGAGCAAAGCTGAGCAAGGGTCTCCATGTAGATTTGGGGAGCTGATGGATATTTGGCCTAATTGTCTACAGCTAGTTCATGGTGGGGCAGAGAGTCCCATTAAAGACTTTGGGGCATATGAGTGTTTTAATAATGGCTATTTAGGGGAAGGATGTTTATATTTTGTAAGCTTGCTGGGAGCACCTTATTGAGCAGGGGTTGAAAGTGGGAAAAACTAGAATCTACTTAAGAAGCTATTGCAGTTTTGAAGTAAGAAGTATGATAGTTTGCATGTGGATGGCGGCTGTGGGGGAGGAGAGAAGTGGACAGATTCCAGAGGCACATGGGGCAGAACACATAGGACTTGGACCGAAGGTGAAAGTGATGGAGGGGGAACAGATGAGGCATGAAAACCGGACCGGGTTCGGTCGCTGCATGTTAGCAGAGCCTTCCCCACAGGCGTCGGAGTGGGAAGTGGTAGGAGATGGTGAGTCTGGACACACTGAGCGCGGTGCCTGGAAGGCCTTTAAGCAGAGACAGACATTCAGGAGCCAGGTAGATGCATGACCGGAGTTCAGCAGGAGCTGGGGATAAATTTGGAGGATTATCATCAACAGAGACACAACAGCTGAAGACATAAGGACCTCCACAGGACCAGAGAGTAAGCAGGCAGAGTCAGACAAATGGAAGGAAACAGCGGGACATGGGTTCCTTGGGTTCTGGATTGAGACTGTCAAGTTCATCAATCACCATCCACTCCGCTCCCATGTCTCAAGTGACATTGGGTAGATGAATGTACGAGGAGGGTTCTGACCTGTGTGTGGACGAAATGACATGAAATTGCTTCTTTTGTCTGGGAGAGGTTTTCCCTCTCAGGGGGCGGAAGGAAGGCAGAAGGATCCCTGCAGACTAGGGCAGCTGCTCCGAGTCAGGGTGACCCAGGGAGAGGCCAGGCTGCCCGGGGGGAAGTTTACAAGTACTCTGAAACACTGAGCTCCAACCTAGACATCTACACATTCCAAGTCCCTGGCTATCGTGCCTGCCCTGGGTTGCTAGGAAAGCACTGGCGTGGTGAGGCCGCACGTTGGCTATAGGAAGGTGGGATGGCGGCAGAATGCCTCTGCTTTTCCGTACATGGGCAACACATGTACGGAAACGCATGTGTTTCTGGCACATTCTCTGTGACCTGGCCTGGGCCAGTACCTGCAAATACAGGGGACGCGGATTTAAAAAAAGAATTCCTACCTCCTTGGAAATTATTTAATACAGCATCTCAGGAACAATGCCTAATGTAGTTGCAAACAATATAGTTTGATATAAGTTGTATGAAAAATGAGTTAAGGTTGAGTCAAAAACAAAAACAAAACTTCACCCTACCTGTCTGTGTTTCTAGCTACAGTGCTTTCATTTTTTTTCAGAAGACATTCTTTTACAGTGAGACCTGTAACTCCATCACCACTCCTCCCTGGGACGTCCCTCTGCACCAAAACTATTTAAATCACCTCCCAGTGCCTCAGGCAAGTCCTCACTGTCCCTATTACAGGTCCTCTCCCCTTCTGCTTCTGGAACGCCCCAGAGAACAACGGAGGCTGCGCACTGCTGCCACCATGAGGGCAAGTGTGAGAATGCAACATCCTCTCCTGTTTCTATAAATCACAGGAAACAAGTCACAAAGCTTTCCCTTTTATTTTTTTCCTTTTCTTTTCCTCACTTTCCATCTTTAATTAATTTTTCTCTGTTTTTGAGGAAGGTGCATAAACATTTTCATAATACTGTGAAATTACCTGTGTTATTACCTGGACAGTTTCTCCTATCACAGTTACCAGGGGTTTAACATTACTTCCTCCTTCCCTCCCACACCAGCCCTGCCCACCGCGTGGACGGCGGGGGCCAGGGGAATAGTTCTCACTATTTTACGAGCTATGATTGCGGATATATGCCAAAGCTGTAGAGCCTGGTGAGAAAGAGAGCTGCCTACTTTTAGAAGTGAAATAATCTATTTTAAACGACCTATCTACTTTATATGTTAGAATATGCCTTAATGATTTTTAAACATCCTTCTTTTCAGACTTCACAATCAAACCTGGTATGTTTAAAATTTCAAACCATAGTGTTAAGCCACTCTATCACACTACAGAGTATTAATTAACAAGCTATAACATTCTCTACTAGAGCTTCATCTCATGCATGTTTTAAAAGAAGCAACGATTAGGGTGAATTAAATAAAAATCTCCCATTTTTACAACCGTTTGCCTCTGCATAACAGGAAGAACCCGATCCTTACTCTGCTCCAGAAAAGTCAGGAGTGGCGGATGACATATGAGTATTTCTCCCTACTAAGGTCTACATGGACTTGATCATGAACCTCAGATCTCAGCTCAGGACTCCACATATCAAATGCTTTATAGTCAGAGTATTAATTAGTGGCATAATGGGAGAAGACTCAGTTTGCAGTACTGGTTTTTGCTAGTGTTTCATTCATGAAGGTAAACTGGGGAAATGGTTTTCCTACCCCGGTCTGGGTATCTTCAAAGATTCCAAGAGAGGACAAAAGAAGAGACAGGCATGCTCTTACCATTATCATTGCCTTGCTTGATTTCCTCTGCGGTCCGATCTATTAGCACATACAGAGACCAGACCACACAGGTGATGGCGACGACGTGGAACGTGACAGAGCAGAATATTTTCCTCCTTTCGCTCGTGGTCATCTGCAGTTTCTCCCACTGCAATCAGAAACAAATCACACGAAACTGCATTTCCAGCTCGGAGATTTGACCCCCCATATCCATCAGAAAGGGAGGGAAAATATTAAATATATGCACACCAGAGGACACTATAATATTGAAATAACTTTTCATGTTTAGAAAGACTTGAAATCATAACCTGTGGCATTAAAGACAATGTGAATAAATATTAAAATAAAAACGATGTTTTCCTAGTCTCCACATGAATTACCGGTAAATCATCATTCCTGCTTGCTAGCCTATGGTTTCCTTGTCTGTAACATAAATGGGATAGGTGATATATTGTACAAGTTTTAGAAAACACTGCCTTTCGGGTTTCTGCATATCACTTCTTTGTGCTGCTAGGTTATAAGCAGTAATGCATAATTTCTTCTTGGATGAATGCATAGCCTGATTACAGTGCTGCATCTTTCAATGTATAAATCTAATAAAGTATTTAAATGGCTGGATACTATCTATGAGAGAATGCCAATGTGGGTTCACAACTCTCCCTCCAGGAAACACTCCTTTTATTGTCCAGGCAACGTGATTTCAAGAACCTGTGATTCTTTGCATTCTTTACTTACTATGCTCTGGTTAAAGCAAAATTTTTAGAACTTCGAAGACCCCACCCCACTCCCATATAAAATTCCATGAACAACTCAGTCGAAAACAAGAGGGCCTAAATCATATTCCATGAAGTCCTGGGTCTCTGACATTGGCAGAGTCCTTCAATTTCTCTGGGACCATTTGCTTCATTAAAAGATGCAAATTGTGGCCGAGGCTGCAGCAGAGAGCTTCAGAAGAGGTTATCATCCTTTTCTTCCTTTATTAACAGACTGGGGATTCTTTGAGGGTTGGCATCGTGCCCTGCAGAAAGCGGCTTCCCAGCCTCCCTTGGCAGAGGAGGACATTGGCCGTCTTCCAACAATGAGATATGAGTGGTTATCTACTTGAATCTCAAGATTCTGCCATCCTGACCAGGAATTGTCCCTCTCTCCTTCCCCCCATTTTCTTTTCTTTGCTACCTGGACCTTATAATTGACAGTAAGAGTCCCAACAGTCATCTTGCCACCTCCAAGAAAAGTCTTGAAAATTGGGGAGACCTGAGCCTTGTCAGCAGCAGCACCTTCGGATGCCACTTACATGCAAGGAAAGTGATGCCCTGCCTGTCCGATGAAGCCACATTTCTCAGGACTCTGCCACTCGCCATCAAATGCAAGTCCTGGTCAGTGACTCAAATAGAGTCCTCCCAGCCTCCCTTCCAGTTTGATGACTAAGATTCTGTGATTTCATTTGGGAGAGAACACAATATGTCAGGCCTGATTATGATGCTCCAGAAAGCTTAAACATTTTAGAGAAATGAATGTTTTATTGACAAAGACTATCTGTTTCTCTACTTTTACTGGCCAATCATTACACAGTTTTCTTTATAAAGATTTACTAGATCCAATTAAAATTATATTTCAGCTTGTACTTTCTTTTTCATCAAACTATATTTTACATGGTATTTTAAGTAAATAATGGAGAACTCTTAGTGATGTCACCGGGGAAACCATATGCTTCAATCTGGAATCTGCTTTTAGTTAACTGATATTAAATTGAGAAAATTTAAATTTATATATATTAGCTTTTATCAAAATTTCACAAATCTGTGAAAGTCTGATTTTAAAAATTTTATTTTGTTATTGATTTATTATAACATCAATTTGACTAATCTGTATAATTATAGAATATTATCATTTGGTTATAGCATTTTGTGATTTAATAACTATTTCTTGAACTACCTCAGTATTCAATATGACCAAATAAAAAGTGTGGAATGGTACAAAAAGAGCAGTTTTACATGTTCCAATTTTCTAAATGTCTCAAGTGGGTGAGAATACCTTCAGTAACAAAGTATTCATATCAACTCAACCCTCAATTGTAAAACTGGCTTTAGAAAAAAAAACACGCTAAAATGAGGTCTCTTAAATTTGAGGAGCATTTTGATGCAGTGGCTGAAACACATTCTTCCAAATTAATGAGCCTCAAATAGAAAAGTATCGGGGGGCTGACAAGGATGGATCGCATCATGTAAAGACTCCTGGTTCCAGACAATAGAAATTCTGAAGTTGTCATTTCTTAATCTAAGCAGTATTTTAAAAAGAAATGAAGCGTGAAGGGACCATCCAACATTCCTACTTTATAAATCCTTCCAGGGACTCTTCGGCTATTCAACTGAACAGAACACCCGCAAACGTGATGCCACAGCGCCCCCTGCCGCACAATCATATTACTGTATACAATCGTCAGCACAAAGCATCGCCAGAAATCAATGTATTTTAATATAATGTTCATTCATACCCTTGCATTTTCAGGTTTATGTACAAAATATGAACAAATTTTACAGGCCTCCACATAGGGAGCAGATCGAGAAATATTATTTTAACAAAGCTGTCATGAAGGGGCCTTAGTTTAGTATTTGGGATGCTGATACACAATACCAGTTAACAAAAGATTTTGGGATAGCAAAGTGATAATATGCACACAGGCATTTGCGCTCCCCTGCCGAGTTTTATAAAATATTGTGCGCTAATATTTACTGTTGTGGCCCCTCTAGAGGGGAGAGGAGCGCCTCTTGGGTGCGGGGCAGCAACACCTTCAGCATCACCTGGCACCTGTTAGAGATGCTCACTTTCGCGCTGCACTTTGAAATGGAGCTCCGGTGGCTGTGCCCTGCAGTGGATGAAGCGCAGCTGTCTGCCCGACGCAGCGAGGTCATGGTCGCGTTGGCCTTGCCACCCTCAGGGGGCCATGGCCTCAGCCTTTCCAATTCAGGTTATTTCTCAGTCAACTACTCGCCCACCTGTCTCTCTATTTTAAGGTAACACATATTTCTCCAACTTCTCTCAATGAAGCTGGTGGAAAGGCTAAAGCTGGGCAGCTGGGGAGGCCACGCAGCACAGCGCACCAGCCACTCTCAATAACCCTTCACACTAACGACTCCCACCTGCCCCATTCGCCGTCCAGTTGTCAAGTTCTCTTTAAAGCCCAGGTGTCAAACACAACTCCCCCCAATTCCCCCCCCCCCCCCCACCCCGCTGAATCCGGCCCTCCAACTTATTTTATTCGGCCCTGCACCTTGATTCCACCAGCAGCGCCGAGCTCCCTGCCCCTCGTTCAGGCGTAGTTACATTTACACAGTCCTGAAGTTACATTCCCTGCTTTGAATGCAACCGCGAGGCTGATTTGGCCCCCAGTAAAAATGAGTTCGACACCCCTGCTTTCAAGCCTTCAAAATGGGCCATAAGCTAAGGTGAGCAACGCCAGTTTTACAAAATCTTACCTCCTACACAGAAGGTCTTGGAACTTGCTTTAGGCTTTGTAATTGCCAGGTCTTTGGTACCTCCTTACTATTTGCTCCCTTGGGGAAACCCCGCAAGGAGAGAAGGAATTAAACAGAACTCTGTTATTCACTTAGAAGAATGCTACTGGTCATTACAGGATAGTTTCAGAGATGTAAATTGCAGCATAGGGCATGCAGTCAATCATATTGTGATAAATACGTGCAGGGCAAGTGGGTACTTGAACTATCGGGGAGACTACTCTGCTGTGCATCTGAAACCAACACAGAATGATACTGAATGTAAACTGTTAATGAAAAAAATGCTACTGTATTTTTCTGAAACAGTATCCACATTGGAATATAAATTAATGCAAACACTGTTTCTGTGAAATCTCTCATCTGTTCTAGCTAAATAAAATGATGCAGGTTTTCTAATTTAAATTACTTATATTTATATTCTGTCCTAAAATGTAAGTTAAAAAAGACTGCCTAATGAGAATGCTTTTTAAATCTTTTTTATAAATATATTTTATTGATTACGCCATTAGTTGTTCTATTCCCCCTTCATTGCCCTCCACCCTGCACACCCCCTCCCCCACCATTCCCCCCTTTAGTTTATGAACACGTGTCTCAAGTTCTTTAGATTCTATATTTCCCCCTACTATTCTTGCCCTCCCCCTATCTATTTTCTACCTACTGTCTATGCTACTTATTTTCTGTACCTTCTCCCCCCTTCTCCTCCTCCCACTCCCCTGTTGCTAACCCTCCATGTGATCTTCATTTCTATAGTTTGCACCTGATCTAGCTGTCCTCTTAGTTTGCTTTTGTTTTAGGTGTGGTTGTTAATAACTGAGTTTGCTGTCCTTTCACTGTTCATCTTTTTTATCTCCTTTTTCTTAGGTAAGTCCCTTTAACATTTCATATAATAAAAGCTTGGTGATGATGAACTTCTTGAATTTGATCTTATCTGAGAAGCACTTTATCTGCCCTTCCATTCTAAATGAAAGCTTTGCTGGATAGATCAATCTTGGATGTAGGTCTTTGGATTTCATGACTTGGAATACTTCTTTCCAGCCCCTTCTTGCCTGTAAGGTCTCTTTCAGGAAATCCTCTGACAGTCTGATGGCAATTCCTTTGTAGGTGACTGTCCCCTTATCTCTTGCTGCTTCTAGGATTCTCTTCTTCATTTGAATCTTGGCTAATATAATGATGATGTGCCTTAGTGTGTTCCTTCTTGGGTCCAACTTCTTTGGGACTCTCTGAGCTTCCTGGATTTCCTGGAAGTCTATTTCCTTTGCCAGATTGGGGAAGTTCTCCTTTATTATTTGTTCAAATAAGTTTTTCACTCATGGCTGTTCCTCTTCCCCTTCTGATACCCCTATAATTCGGACGTTGGAACGTTTAAAGATATCCTGAAGGTTCCTAAGCCTCTCCTCATTTTTTTGAATTCTTGTTTCTTCATCCTTTTCTGTTTGGTCATTTTTTTCCTCCTTCTGGTCCACTCCTTTGATTTGAGTTCCAGTTTCCTTTCCATTACTATTGGTTTCCTGTGTATTTTCCTTCATTTCAACTAGTTTAGCCTTCATATGTTCCTCTAATTTGTCACTAAAATCAACCAGTTCTGTGAGCATCCTAATCACCACTGTTTTGAACTGTGCATGAATCTGAAAGT